TGTAGAGACAAGGTTTCACCAAGTTGCCCAGGCTGGTCTCGAACCCCTGAGCTCAGGCAATCCTCTTGCTTCGGCCTCACAAAGTGCTGGGATTACAGATGCAAGCCACCGCACCCAGCCTAGACTTTTATTTTTTTGAGTTGGAGTCTCATTCCATTGCCTAGGCTGGGGGGCAGTGGCACGCTCACGGCCACCACAACCTCGACCTGCTGGGCTCAGGCGATTCTTCCACCTCAGCCTTCCACCATGCCTGGTTAATTTTTTGATTTATTGTAGAGATGAGGTCTTGCCAAGTTGCCCAGGATGATCTCGAACCCATGACCTCAGGCAGTTCTCTCACCTTGGCCTCCCAAAATGCTGGGATAAGGGTGAGCCACTGCACCCAGGCCAGACTTTCTTTTTCATAGCAGTTAGTTGTTTTTTTTATTGGATAGGCTATTCTTTTACATTCCTTTTTAAGAAATGAATTGGAATTTCTTTAAAAGTTTTCCCAGGGTTGATTGTCAAGTTAGTCACCTGAGGCCTTCTCTCCCACCTGGTTCTTCCAGCACTGAGAGGTCCCTGGGCATCTCCTGGTGTTGGGAGTAAAATCCTGTGGGCAGCATAGGCACCTGGCTCAGCTCTTCTCTGCACAGGCCTGGCTGTGAGTGGGTGGGATCTGCCAGCAGGCCTCCATGGGCGGGGAGGGGTGAGACATCCCTGGAGGGGTCAGACTCTCCTGGAGGGAGTCAGGCCTCCCTGGAAGCCTCTGCTGTCACTTACTCCATGAAGATAGCTACTGTCTACCTCCAGATAAAGCATGATGGGGGTTGCAAGGTCTCCCCTAAACCCCGAACTCCTTCACCAGAAGGCTCCTGAAAGCCTGTCTCTGACTACGTTCCCTCGCCGAAGGTGGAGCGCGTGTCGCACCCGCTGTTGCAGCAGCAGTACGAGCTGCACCGGGAGCGCTTGCTGCAGCGCTGTGAGCAGCACCCGGCAGAACAGGTCCTGTACCACGGCACAACGGCGTCGGCCGTGCCTGACATTTGTGCGCACGGCTTCAACCGTAGCTTCTGCGGACGCAACGGTGAGGCTTGCGTCTGGTGGGGACAGGGCCGTGCCCTCTTCAACGACCCTGACCTCCGCCCTACCCCCCGCAGGCACGCTCTACGGACAAGGCGTGTACTTTGCCAAGCGGGCCTCCTTGTCGGTGCAGGACCGCTACTCGCCCCCTGACGCCGACGGCCACAAGGCGGTGTTCGTGGCACGGGTGCTGACAGGTGACTACGGGCCGGGCAGCCGCGCTCTGCGAGCGCCCCCACTGCGAGCCCCCGGCCACATCCTCCTACGCTACGACAGCGCGGTGGACCGCCTCCACCAGCCTAGCATCTTCGTCATCTTTCACGACACTCAGGCGCTGCCCACCCACCTCATCACCTGCGAGCACATGACCCGGGCTTCCCCCAAGGACCCCTGTGGGCATTCAGGCCACTCCCCGGCCACCAACGAGACCTCCCTCTAGCCCGCTGCTCCCCGTGCTAAGTTGCCTTTGTCTCCTGCTGCGGGATGCTAGGGAGGAGACGGACGGCAGCGGACGCAGAGGGCTAGTGCCTGTTCCCCGCCTGGGCGACCCAGCCACCAGGGGTCAGTAGAGCCCAGGAGGGGGGGGGCCCGGTCCAGCGCTGCCAGTCTCGTCTCCGTTCTTTGAATAAACGAGCATGTGAAACCAAGCTGAAGGGCCTCGAATGCAGCCTCTGGGGCGTGGGGACCTTGGCGTGGCCGGGGGGGGTCGGCTGCTTCCGCGGGGCGGCCCTGGACAGCCGACGGAGGCTGAGGGGGCGCTAGGGTGCGGGGCGGAGCCCAGCGCTCACACGAGCGACCGCACGCTGTGTTGGTGTCACGCACGCTCGCGCCAACGACGTCTCCTGGCCGACCGGCCCGCCCCGTACGCGCGGAGAGCTGGCCACACCCGGATTAGGTGTGCGCTCCCTACAGGCGCTGTCCTGGCCGA